CTTTGTTCCTCTTGGAGTTTGTTGTTTTCAAAACTTGATCACAAACAATAAAAATATCTTGAAGGCAGTAATTCATAATAACATGCCAAGAAAACCACCTAGTTTGTTTTCACTCTCTCCGCCTGTCTCTTCCTCAGATGCATGGGTGGAGGCAGATGGCTGAATTATACGATAAAAAAAAGGTTTAATTACGCAACTGAATACAAAAGGTGTGAGAGTCAAATTTAGATGTGTTTCATAAAAACAAGGGAAAAAAATAGTATCAAGATCAGAACACTGTCCAATAAATAACAGACATGTGATGACATATGTTTTCCAAACACTGTCTGGGACTGTTGATGTCTACTAATATAACCCCCACCCCACACACACACACATCAAACGCATATCTGCTAACAACACTTGGAACTCTCTGACAGACGTGTTTATCGTTTCTATTTAGTGCACAAAACCTGTCTGAGACTATTGATATGTCCTAATCTAACACACACACTTCCACATCAAACACACATCAGCTGAAACACACTTGGAACGCTTTGAAAGACAAAGTTTGTTTATCATTCTGTTTCGAGCAGATGACAAACCTCTTTATCCTCATGTCTCATCAGAAACAAATATATCACGTTTGTGCATGGCAACAATTGTCCTTTAAAGCACAAAGGACATGTTTGCACTGATTGTGTTCGGTGTGTTCGAAGCAAGTGTGTACAAGGCCATCTATAGTGATAAAACACATTGGATTAAAGCAAGCAAGGATTAAAAATGTTTAGCTGTAAGGAAACAGGACTGACAAGAGTATTTTATGTGGCTGGTAATTTGAAGTGGAAAGAATGTAAATGGCTTTTGAAGGTTACTGTATCTTGCATTGACAATGAAAACACAGATTACTTCAGGGCACTAGTGACTACTAGTGAAAACAGATTTCTATTTTGCATTTTTTTATACTTCATTATTTTTTATTACAATTTATATTCAATAATTTCAGTTAAAAATTAAACTAAGTATTAGTTTATGTTAAAGGTATATATATATATATATATATATGTATATGTGTATATATTAAAGAAAATTACATAGCACCTTTCTAACGATACCGGTCATGACCACAGACTTCAGTAAACATATGGATCGTGGCGTGACGCGTTGGAATTTTCTTGATAATATTGGGAGAAATTTACTGCCGCAAGTGAAAAAAATGTAATAAAATAAACATCTTAATGTATATTTTCAACGTTTTCTTTATAGCAGCTTGAAAGAACACATACCGAAGGAGTAAACTAGCATAAAATCTCAATACTGATCACTGCATGAAAAATCAATGTTTTTGCCTGGCATGTCTCGCCTTAAATGTGTATGATGCAAGTCTTTGAAAAAATGACCCAGTATAAACTAGAATAAACCCACTTCTCATTTTTCTTTAATGATCTCAATCAGACCATCAATTCACACATATGGACGAATACACGTCTGTGTTTCTCTGTGGAGAAACTCTCCCATTGGTGACATCTTGCAACCACGAAAGAGCCTTTCTTAACTGTTCAAAAATGCAAAATCTATTATTGAAGACTTTTACATTTTTCATGCAGAAGGCGCCCCTTTTCTTCTGGGCCCATTATACTTCTCATGTAGACCTCTACACCACTTCTGCCACATTTAAAGCATAAAAGATGCATTCAGTCCAGACTCGGTTTCTAAGGAAATGGTTTTATTGGCTAGTATTCTTGAAGTCGAGCTCTAATTTAAATAACGCAGACTCTGTGCTTCAGGTATGTTTTAATAAAGGAACCTGCATGTTGAATCATCAAGCTCATTATTGGTGAAACTCCATATGGCAACATGAGACTGTTTCAATCACAAAGTATCTGACACAGAAGTTGCATAAATTGCCAAGACTAGTCTTACAAGTTTTTAACTTTTTAAAGTTAGCTAGTTGGTCAAACTAGTTCTTAAGACTCTGTTCTTAACAGATGGCTATGCAACTGGCCCCAGGTCAGACATAAACATTCTGGTTTTCAAGATAAAGCGGATCGCAAACATGTTTCTGGAGACTGAAATATTAAGAAAAAAATGCTTTATTTGTTATTCTCATAAACTGGCCAGTCTGACCGATTTAATTTATTGTTCAGTAAATCAAGGTCTGAATAGAAGCTTTCGGGAGCTGGTGTGACAGCTTTCATCTTAGCAACATAGCGACACCTGAAATTAATCAAATTTGACCAGTTTGTGAGAATTCAAACGTAGATTTAACAGCCGGAAAATGATCTGTGAAACTTTTGAGCAACAGGCTAAATTAGTGTGTCAATGTCACACAAAGGTCAATATTTATAGTCTCAAACAATGCCACTGTGTCACTGGACTCTATTTAACAAAATCTCCACAGACATCTAAAAATCCTCTCTGATCTAAAATAGACAGAAACTGCTTTCCAGAGGTGAGGTGTAATGAAGTAGGCCAAGGACTGCCACAGAAAATAGACTAAACACTAAAACTGGCCTGGATCAAATCAGGTCTTTGAGAGAAAATTAAAAAAAAGCAGGTTAACTAGAATCTTCGAAGTCACTGGTGTCCCTGGGGGGTAATGTGAGGAACAGGCCCCACGTGCATTGATAGGTGCAAGAGACTCAGTGCTAGAGGTGCAGCGACATCATCATTTTACCAGACAGGACACTCATGCAAACACTGTAGCTGGCATATTTATCAGTGTCAAAGAAGAAAAACTGTTCGTTTTTTAGCAACAGTAGCTAGTATTCAGGGAAGATCATGTGACTAGATAAATCATTTAAAAACACTTACAACCCAAAGAATACGGAAGAGGATTAGGGCCAGGCAATAATAATAATAATTTAAAAAACATCTCAAGATTTAAGTCATTGTAATGCGAAAAAAAGTAAATATAGAGAATAAAGTCATTGTTTCAAGAAAAAAGTAGAAATACAATCTTGAGCATAAGCTCATTAAAATTTTGAGAATAAAGTCATTTATTCTTGAAATTTGATGAGTATATTCTAACGATTATTTAGACTGTTTTCTCGAAATTTAACTAGTTTTTCTCTCGAAACAACGACTTTATTCTGGATATTTAATGAGTAGAAGCTCAAAAGAAAAGAATGTATATATACAAGTTTATATATCAATTTCAAAATCTGACTTTTGATCAATTTAATGCATCATTGCCAAACAAGTATTAATTTTCAAACTTTTGAACGGTATTGTAAATGTTAAACAAAAGAATATTATTTACTCACCTTCAAGTGGTTTCAAACCTGTATTAATTTCTTTCTTCTGCTGAACACAAAGGAATATATTTTGAAGAACAACGGTAACCAGATAGTTGATGGGCCCCATTGATTTCCATTATAGGAGAAAAAAATATATACTAAGGAAGTCAATGGGGTCCATCAAATGTCTGGTTACCAAACTTCTTCAAAATAACATCTTTTGTGTTCAGCGGAAGAAAGAAATGAATACAGATCTGAAACATCTTAAAGGAGCATTTCACCCATTGCAACATTAATCTTTATTGAAAGTGGATCATATATGTAGTCGAAATGTAAAATAATTTTTTAATTTGGTGCCCTCTTGACCTCTTGTGTTAAAAAACTACAGTTCCCAGAATGCCCCAACATTGCACAGCTCCGCAAGCCACACCCACTAACCCACCCACCCAACGGAACAGCGGAAACAGAGACGCAAACACACTCTTCCGTCTACAACACTAACATTAGCTGTCACCAGAGTTAGAGTTTGAAATTCATTTCAAACAAAATGTCTAGTTAGTTGGCTGTGGCGAGCAGGACGATCGAGGGCGAGGGATGTAAGAGGACAGCGCGCTGCCGGTGGCGTGAGTGATAATGAAAGACACCTGTTAGGCGCGCGCCGGTGCGTCTCTCGTCACAAAGGAGCGAATGCATAAAATGGGGAGCGACGACGGCAGATCGAGAGAGAAACAGGCCTGATTTTATGTTTATTTGTTTCTGTTGTGTGTAACGCTGGCTTACTTTCGTTTTGTATTTGTTCATTTTATTATTAAAATGTATAAATGTTCGGTGGTTCAAGCCTCTTTCTTTCCACAACAACAAACCCAGTTCACGTTACATTTGTAAACACATTAGTGAATTACTCGCGTTTGTATTTATTTCTTTATCGTGAATTACTGCATGATACCTGGATGTTCTGAAGGCGAAACTATCACAACACAAACGTCCGTGTGCTCGTCTGATTCAGAGATTTCCTCCAGGAGAAACTGCCATCGTTGAAATTCTCTGCAGCAGACGGACTCTGTGTCTGTAGGCCGTGACACGCAGCGAGAGTACAGGCAACAGCAGGCCGCCGAGCTCGACCCAGTCCGGGCGTCTCGACCGACAGCCAGGCGTCTCCTGCTCCTTCATCAGCCTCAGCTGTTCTAAACTATACTGCAGCTCGTAAAGATAGCCACGAACATCGGATTCGAGCAGCAGACTTTCAAAATCCTCTTCTTCCATATAACGTTTAGTTTCTTCCATCATTATCATAACTTCATATCTCCACAGGGCTTGTTAGCTTAGCTTCCAAACAAGATGGCGGATATTGATTTCAGTCTCTGCAAGTGAAGTCCCACCCACTGATCTGTAATAGGCCTGTTGGTGAGTGGGTGCCACACCCTTGAATAATAATGAGCTAATCATTGTAGTCTGTTGACAATTCAATGAAATGTCACTTCATGCTTATCGTGACGCAAAATGACGATTTTTACATCATGATAAGCAGGAAATAAAAAACTTAAATCCTTATTCCTCCCATCTCAGGGGAAAATAAGGGCATAAACCATGACCATTCAAAAATATGACTGGGTTTCTAAAGATACAAAGCTTAATGCAAATGGGTGAAGTGACCCTTTAAGGGTGAGTTAATGATAACAGAATTATCATTTTTAAGTGAACTAATCCTTTAAGACTGCATTCTGCCACCCCATGTGGGAAATAAACGTCATCACTTTGAAAAAAAACCTGCATAAATTATAATGCATTTAACCATTTATTTCCTCTTACACACAAACAACAGGCAGATAGAATATCCTTATTTGACAAAAACCAAACACACATGTACACAAGTTTCTGTCCTCTAAAACAAACCATGGAACTGCAAGACTGACCTGAATAAAAGCAAACCTGAAGTGTTTACTATGGTAAAAACTATAAATGAAACCCTGCAGTCAGAATGAAAGCGCAGCACATTTTACCTGTTAATGACAGGTACAGGAACATACGTTAGTACGTTCAGTGCATGATATTACACAAATTAGCATTGATGACAACATTAATCAGACTCAAATATGAATATAGTGTGGATATGAAAACAGTCTGTAAACTAGAATATCACTTAATGAATTGAATTTTATGTAGTAGTGGGTTTAAATTTTGTTTTGTAAGTAACAAATTCGTATTAAAAGTGATTCAACATAGCTGGAGGCTTGTGAAGTTTGAGAAGAAAGGTTTTGGATTAAAAACACCAAAACATATCTTCTAATGCAATGTGTCAGACAGATGGGGAAAGGCTGCAGCCATGTCCAAAACAAGAAACTGAAAGAAAAGCACATTTCGGGTTCAATTTCCACTTTAGTGAGGGACGAGCGATCCTGGCACAAAAGCAATGTATGCATAAAACTTCTTGTTACACTTTGTAAAAGGAAAAAACATCTTCTATCATCATAAAAAACATGAGGCACCCTCTCAACTGGCTTACAGTCACAGCCAACAGCCACATCACACATGCTATTCCGATTTTACAGAAACATTTACAACCTGCCTGACACTAGCAAAAGCCAAATATAGTTTTTCCCCTCATGTACCAACTAAAGATAAACCACACAAATTGTTAATTCAAAACTTATCTTGCAGAATCACATCAGTCTTCTTACACAATATACACTTCAAAAGTCTGTAGGGTAGAAGGGGAAATCACAGAGTGCTAATGACATCAAAATGCAATTCAAAGTCTTCAGTGCACAGGCACACACACACACACAAACCCTTTAAATAGAACAGCCTCTTGTTTAGTCTCTGAACGGAGGCAAAAATACGCATGTATCGTAACATCAGATCAGTAATCAAAACTGCTTCAAGTATAACAGGGTTGTATGAGGGAAAGTGTAAGGCAAGAGATACACTTCTACAGCTCCATACTACACATATACAAAATTGGAACTGGGATCCTTCAGGATTCTTCTGTCATTTCATGGCTTGAATATGATGTGGTTTTGAAATATCGACTGCGTGCTTGTTGATAAAGGATCTGAAGATACTAATGTCCAATTGAAATTAACAAAACAATGATGGTGAAACAGGAAGTAGTGCTTAGATTTCACAAAATCTATGATGGAACGACAAAGGTGATCACTGATCTGCTGAGTATAAAGGCTATCATTATGTGCGCACACACACATTACAAACTTGGTCGCTCAGTCCCAGTTGGAGTATGTATGTGTGTGTGCTGACGAAATCTGCTTCTTTTCCTTTCAGACGTGTCACAACAGCGCAGCATTGTGGTAGCATTGAGGAATGCAGAATAACTTGTTTTATTCAGAGGCTTTATGGGGTTTCCATGGCAACAGTCCACAGGCACAGCCCTACTGACCCAGTAGAAAAAAAAAGACTTAAGAACACAAAAGTAGTTAAAATTCCACATGTTTTATTCTCTCGGCTTTGTATCTCAGACTAAAAGTTTAAACCAGAGAAAATAAATCCAAGAAGTTCAGCCTTACATAGAGAGTCTGCTGAGAAGGTCTGGATAACAGATCATTTCCTCATACTGATGTCATCATCCTTCAGAACGAATTTCTTCCTCAATGCTTCAGATATAAGAGAGGCAGAATCTTCCTCCCTCAGTGAGGTGCACCCACGGTTATATCTGAATACAGTGCACAATAACAGTATTCACTATATAATCAATAGCAATGATAAAATAATATATATTATTATGATTATTGGTCACAAAACACAACATAACTGTCTAAATGAATTAATGAAAATTTCTAGCCCTTATGGTTTAAAAGTTTAGCATAAACATGAGCTAAACTTTGGACAGATGGTGGCGCTAGAGAGATTGGGTTAGAGACTCCAGATTTCCTATGGTAACATGAGACCATTAAACCTTTCTATCTATGTGCCAAATTCTCTAACTTTCCTGCAAGCGTTTCTATGGGCTGCCATAGACTCAATAAGTAGAATAGTAATATAATATTAATACAATAATGAATATTAATACAAGGCCTTTATTAATAAAAGGCCTCCACCACCAAATTTCTGCACAGTCAGTGTGTCATGCTGGTGTTGAAACAGTGCTCACCTGTCCTTGCTCATCTTCATGCGGTTCATGTCTTTCAGGATGTCCATTACATCAGCAAAGCTTGTCGATTTTGAAAGAGACACTGTGTCTTCCTCCGGCTCTCGAAAGTCCATAGTAGGGTGATCAAGATCAAAAGTTGCAGATGATGTCATGGAAACTGGCGGCACAGGATCAGGCACCAGCTCTGACACCTCCTCCTCTTCGTCCTCTTCTTCCTCCTCTTCTTCTTCCTCTTCTGTGACATCACTAATGACAAAGGAGGCTGTGGGAGCAGCCTGGTAAGCAGCAGTCTCAAAAGGAGCCATGGAGAAGCCCACACTAGTGTCATCAGGGGACAGCAGGTCAGGGGTGATGGGGTTCGAATCTAAAACGGGTCAAAAATTTCATGAAGCACTACAGGTCAAAACATTTAAGCAAATACATTTCTGCTACTGCATACTATTCTCAATTTTGAGTCTAAAGCTAAATACATCATAAGTATTAACTTGCCAATGTAAAAAAAAAAAAATGATTTAGTCAAATACTCAACCTGATTCTGAAGCAACGATCTTGGCGATCTGGGCTCGGAGTCGAGTCAACTCATCTTGTAAAGCTGTGGTGCGGTTTAGAGCGGTAACACCTGGTTTCCTCAGACCCTCGACTCGCCTACCTTCTCGTCTGAAGTTGGGCACAGACGAGTTCCTGTGCATGATCAGCAGCGGTGTTGGCCTCCACTCATGCCTTAGGGGACGTGTGTCACTCCTGACAAAAAGCAAGACAGCATTGGGATAAAATTAATTCATTTGATATTTTAGTGAGGATCCAACACTAAAATCAAATTCTACTCTAAATCATACTAAACACCATTAATAAAGCAGTCAAATAGGAAATCCAGTGCACTAGCATGGCTAGCAGTCTTACCTCACTCTGGCATATGTCTCCTCCTCATCATCTGCAATCCAGGCAATATCTGCCAGCGTAGGCACCAGTGGGCCATCCAAAGAGCGCATTGGAGGAAGGCCTGGGAGTTCCTAAAGAACACAAGCAGAAAACAGACAGATTTTGTATATGTATATATGGTTTCTTTCCTCAATCTTAGTTCTTAGGAAGTTTAAACAAACAAACAAAAATGGACTTCATTTGATAAGTCTCATAATTTATAATTTCATTGATAAGTCATCATAAAAAAGGTCACACCCCAACCCTAAGGAAATCATGGGAAAGACCCTAATGCAGAGCTTGTTGAATAAAATCTATATATCAGCCCCAATGTTGGTATATATACACACATAAATAAAGGGGTGGGATTACAATACATTTAGAGAGCAAAAACTCAAACACCGACCCATCTTCTGCAAAAATGACTTCAAAATGATTTTTTTGTTAATATGCTAGTTTAATATGCTAGTTTATATGAACAATAGCCGCGTTTCCACTGCCGGGCTAGGGCTGGGCCAGAGCTAACAGCGAGCCGGGCCGAGCTAGTGGCCTCGGGCCTCAAGCACCGGGCTTGCGTTTCCACTGCCGGGCCAGTAGCCCCACAGCGCTGCCCCAGACCCCACCCCTAACACGCCTTTCAGGATCAAACGTCATAAAACCCAACCCATTTCAGCGGGTATTATGAATTAATTTATTTTTTAAATTAGGAAGATAGCATGTATATTAACTCAACTGCCGTAGTGGCTGCAATAGTGTCCCGAGACCAGTACAGGCGATTCTCTATTTCAAGCAGCGATTTTTTGCGCGATATAACAAGTAGGGCTGCGGGCACGTTTTCAAGTTATTAATCGTTAACCGAGGCCCATCGGTTAATACTCGGTGCATAGTGTGCGCGCCGCAACCTCGAGATACAGAGTAAATTTTTAACACCTTTAATAACTGATTGGACCCCATTTGAAACGAAATTAATTTATAGAAATAAAACGCAGCAAGTACGGAGCAGTTAAAGCCCATATTTCCATCACCCTTCAAACTGAAATTGCCAATTGAAAATAAGCAAAACCTCCATTTCACAAAAACTCCGTGTCTGCAAATAATAATAATAATAATAACCATCATCATCATCATTATTGTAACATTTTATTAGGCTGCATATGTAGAAGACGTCTTTATCCAAAAAAGGAACAGAGCACAAATAAACACAATATTTTTGACAAATATCAGCGCATATCCAGTGTGTGTGGAGCACGCACTGATGGCTGCGAGACGCCCATGTGAACAGTTTCATTGCATTTCTTTCAGTGGAAACAACTTAAAATACTCTTTAATTTCTGGTCATACAGAAAATAATAATACATTATTCGCAAATACATTTATTTATAACAAGAAAACGTTGTGCTTTAACAATTAATCAAGGCGCGCTTCATGATCTCCGTGAACTGAAGCGCGAGACCTGAAACAGCCACCGCATTCGAATTTGTTCGTTTTAAATTGGACATTTAAAGCTTTAGTCTACAGGGGTTATATCCTTTGTAGATTAAAGCTTTAAATGTCCAATTTAAAACGAACAAATTCGAATCGAAAGCCAATATCTTCTATGTTTATGTAGCTTAATTTCTCTCTAAATGTGCATCCGGAGATGGAGATGTTTTTAGCCGAAAATCATTTAGAAAACAATAGTTTATTAATAAACAATTAATGCCTCGTTATTTTATATTATTTTATTATCAGACACATTTATTATAGCCTATAAATCACCCATAAATCCCCTTTCTGTATGTGGTTACGGCTCTTCTCATTCAGCACTGCGGGGAAAATATCATTTCCAGGTTCTAATTTGGCCTCAGAAAACCAGTAAAATATATATTTTTTTCATATTAATTTGTCAAATATTTTAAATGTTTAAGGGGCAAAAAAATCAAACAAATATCTGAAAATTCGTCGATATGTATAGCTATATATAGCCTATATATTGTTGCGCAGCATTTGGCATAGGCCTACATTTCAAATTAAAATGTTATGCAATTTTAAACGGTTAATCGGTTAAACATGGACACCCCTATGTGCATCTTGCTTCAGATCATAACGTTCCATAACACCGATAAACTCCGCCTTTTACCTTGAACACGCCTCTAGCCCGAGCTGGCCCCCTCTGGCCCAAGGTATTCGACGGGCCAGAAATCCTGGCCGTTGGCCCTGAGGAAGCCCCGATCAAGCCCCGGAAGTGACAGTGGAAACGCGACTGGCCCTGGCACGCACTAGCACGGCCCGGCCCTGGCCCGGCAGTGGAAACGCGGCTAATGTTTATTCCCATACCTGGAAACAAGCCCTGGGACAGGGTTTAAGAGGCAGCGTAGAACCAATTCGTCTCACCACACTACGAGTTGATCCATGTGGTTTATTTTGCCAAATAGGGATTACCTCCTAAAAAGCAAGTAAACAAAATAATAAGTATTTTATAAAAATATATAAACACTGACAGAACATAAATAAAAAAGCACTTTTAGATGTTTATTTACTTACTGCTTCTGTCTCCATTTTTCTGAATGTGAGCACTTGCAGCCTTGGATTGTACAGTGGTGTTTTGATAATAATTATAGCACACTGAACATGTTCATCTGGGACGAGGGTTCCTTTGCCTTGAAAAATTAGCAAGTAAAACATAAAATTAAAACAAAAATCTACACTTTATGTGCAACACCACTGTGAATGCAAATCAAGAAATCATAAGCACAGTGAGTGATTGCCTCATTTGTGTTAGTTTGTGTAAATCAAGTGAATAAAGTAAATAAAGCTTTGAGCAGTGTAAGCAAATCAATAAGGTTATGACGAGCAATTGCTCTATTACATAATGTAGCTTTATACGTAATCAATTAAGTAAATGAACTGATAAGTTGAGTACTAAAATTATAAGAGTAAAGAAATAAATATGGGAAATTAAATGAACAGACGATAATGTTATATACGTTAGCGTTATGCGATAGAAAAGAGTAACGGTGCAAATTGTGCACATCAACAAACACAATAAACCCTCAAATGTAAACAAGGAGGTAAACAAATCAAAGACGTCCTGTAACCCTAATTCGTTCTTTTAGCATCACAGCTAACAAACGACCTCATATGTACTGCTGCTAATTATGCATTTAGAAAACAAACAAGACATACCGTGTGTGGTCAGATTAGTTCGGTTTATTTTTCTGCACTGGTGCAGATTATTATGGTCTGTGTGTTGTGAATGTCCAAGCCTCCTTTCTCCCTGTTTCGTTAGCTGTTTAGCTGTTAGCCCACCAGCGCGCCCCCGGCTAATTTTGCCTTAGGAATTTAGCAAGCGGTGCATGAGTCGGAAGTGCGTAAGGTAACATCATCCTGTGCAAAATAAAAGTAATCTTGCACACAGTAGAAATATACTGCTTAAAATATAAAATATACAGTTGAAATATAGATATATATTTTTAATATAAATGTAAATATATTTTATATTTGATATGTTTACACAATTTTAAATACAGAAGAATTTGGTTTATTTAAACTACTACATAAAAACAAAATAAAAGTCACCTGGGAGATGGAACTGCATTGAAGCAAATGTAGATTTAGAAATTCAAATATTTTGAGGAAGATATTTTTAACTGGTACATTCTGCAACGACATTTCGATTGTAATTGGGAATTTGAGCGAAAGGGAATTGAGCGGTCCTATCTATTATCTAATGACTGGTGACAGATTCACTGCAGAGGAATCAAAACACATGACAGTGCATCATTCGGAGCGTCCCGATCAGCTGGTCTTTATATGGGATCATTAAAAAGGTAAGCTGAACGCACATATTTGGTGATTTTCGAACTCATTTTTAGTTCCAAGTTTAAAGTAATACATAAAACTTGAGCACCATGAGTGGTCCTTCAGTGGATACTGCTGACGAATTTTAATCGGGAGAGATAATGGATTCCGAAAAGATATCGTTTATTAATACTGTATATTGTGGATTCTAGACACATAAGTGCGAAAATGTGTTGCATTTGGGGCCTGGAGCAACAGCACTATCAACAATCCACACCTTGTACTGTGTTTTGGACCTGATTATTACTTAAACATTAAATTACTAAATTTTAAAGCAGCTCTGGGTATTTGCTGTAATATTGGCCTCAAGTAGACCATTTTGAACGAATCTGTCTTATTTACAATATGCATTTCCTGAATATTAAATGGTTGTATTTTGACCGAAAGAGATTGATTTGTTTCAGTCAACTACGCTTTATTGGCATTATTTTCTATCCTTATAAAATGGCTGAAGTATATACAGAACATAGTAACTGAAGTATTGAAATACTGCAGAAAATAAAGTATTTGTAAACATAGATGCAATGAATAGTAAAACTAAATAAACTTCCATAATATTTATAATTTATTATGGAATATATTTATAATATGTATAATACTTGTGTGTATATTTGAATACAATGAGAATGTCTTGTGCATATAAAAATGGTTTGTACAAAGTAAACCACCCATTAGCCTACAGACTCCTCTTCCTCTCATATTTCAGGTTTCCTGTAAAGTGCAGAGAATGCTGATGAGAATGGAGAGAAGGACTTCCAGGAGGAAGAATTCCAGATGCCGACACAGCAGTGGGCAGTCGTTCCATCACTGATTCCTGTACTGGAAGGGTTACATTTTTTTGACTGGTCAACTCTCAGTTTTAGCAGTGAGACCTCATGGACCACAGAGCGCAGAGAGACAAGAGCAGGGCTAGCTACTTTGGAAATGTTAAGAATAGGTAAGGTTTGGTTGGGAGTCTTGGGACTTAAGGGATAGATGAAAAAGAAATCATTAATGTGTAGCTTATGCTCATATAGAGGCCTGTCATCTTGTCTTTAGACTGGGATCAAAGCTGCCGGCTGGAATTTCGCAGTCTCCAGGCTTCATTACAGCTCAATGTTCCATTGGCGGTCAGAGTGTGCTGGGGAACAGTGTTGGGCAGGAGTGTGGCAAAGGAAATCACCAAATCCGAAACCCCAAACTAAGACAGTACTATCTAAAGGGTAAGTGAATGACTATCAACAATGATTGACAATTAGCTTCTGATTTGTTAGGCACCTAACCACACACCTATACATAATTCAGTACTGCATGAAGGGTTTACACTACCGTTCAAAAGTTTGGGGTTGGTAAGATTAAAAAAAAAAAATAATTAGAAGAAATGAATACTTTTTTAATTCAGCATGAATGCATTAAAATTATCAAGATAATTTCGAAAATTTTAAAGTGACAGTAAAGACATTTACAATGTCACAAAATATTTGTATCAAATAAACTTTCCATTCATCAAAGAATCATTGCCATCACAGGAATAAATTACATTTTAAAATATATTATAGTTCTAATACAAAATACTAGTAATAATTTTAAATAGTAATAATTCCCAACTGACATTAAAATCCCAACTGACATTTTGTAAATGGTGATGATTTTTGTTAAGATTCAACTGTGACTCACAAACACTGGTTTAAAATCACAGTTCCTGCTTACTAAATGTACTCAGCATGTTTGTAGTTTAAACAGCTGAAGAAACAAACACATCTGTTTTCACTCTAGTTACTTGTATGCATTTTGAACTGTTTTTGCATCTATCTTCATAGAGGCGGCATTTCCAGTCAAAGATCCAATAACAAAGATTTTGGAGTCATGCAGAAACAATGAACACGGAGTGAGTAAAGTTTTTAAGCTTATTTACACACTCCATCGCCTTCGCCTTCCTGTTGATATATGATAGAAGTCTCCATATATATAACTGCCAACACTGTCATTCCTTGCTATCATATACTGATAACTTTGGAACAAAGGTTACTGAAACACCCCATGCTGTTTTGTCAAGCTTTAAAAGATCTTCAATGAAACTGTTTGATGGATAATTCAAGGAGAACTTGGAAACTTTACAGCAAATGTAATGGGAGAATGCCGACTGCGAAGGCTTTGGTAACTGATATTTTATTATTTAAAATCAATTAATAAACTAGAAATCATAAATTAGGCTAATTTGATGACCCAGCCAAATGTTTCTGTTCAATTTCAAACGGGCTTTTCTCTTTTCAAGTTGATGTCCATTTAATTGTATTACACAGAGACACCCTTGAAAATACATGACGTCCGTTGTTATTCAAGCTTCACCAGATGAAATGTGTAACAAGAGCATAAACAATCCTCAGATTCTCAGTTGGACCTTTCTGTCATTTGGAAACAAACTGACATTAGTTTGCTAGAAAAGTGTGCTGGGTTTAAACAGTTTCAGAATAAAACACTGGGCTGTTGGTTTAAAGATAAAACTATGCAAATCATTAGATACCACTACCAGTATAAGTAATACATGTTACCACCATTATTTGCATGTCTGGATACAGTTGTCTGTAGAAAAGCCATAGGGAATGAAGAATTTCGATGGTCAGATATTACACTGTGCGCAGTTCATTGATTGGTGGAACATTTGTGGAGCAAAAAGAAGTCCACCTTTCAGTTAATGATGTGAATAAAATCATAAATAGAGATCAGAATATTTTTTGCAGAGGTTTTCTTTTTATGGTGTCCGTATGTACTTTTAATTATGCACATTAATGTATTATACTTCATTTTATATGAAGTATAATACATTATAATAACGTTCAAAAGTTACATTTTTGTATGTTATGTTCATTTTAATGTGCTCTCAGTTCCCACAGGTAAACACTAGAAACACTAGTTTTTATGGTTTTAAGAAAGTAGCAGCTAAAATCATATTAATTTTTATTCTTTTGTATAAGATCTCTCGGGACAGAACATGACAAAGGAAAATAATCTATGACAGGAAGTGACAATGTCATGTGATCCCATTTGCATGAATTATGCATCTTTGTGATTAGCTAATAGTTTCTGGGTGCTGTGACTAGATCCAGACATCTGATGTCACAGAGCTATGAATAAGGAAATGAGGGGATGTACAGCATTGTGGAAAGAAGGAAGGGAAGTGAAACTGCTCTCAGTGTGACAATGTCTTTCCTTATGCACCACCTCAAACAGTTACCCAAGAACAAGGTCTCAAATTCTACGGCGACAGCTTCTGACCCACATCCGAGACAAGAGCACAGCCTTGATCCTGCGCTCGACATTGGTGTTGTGGGAACTGCAACTCTTGTGTCTCCTTCCACGGATGCGGAATATGACAAACTGACGGTGAGTGAGTAAAAAATAGTGTGTTTACAAACCTTGGCGCTTAATGAATTGGGGTTTAAATAGTGAACAGCCAGACAATTCTCAGTACAGCTTGTTTGTAGCATTAATTCTGAGTTTAAGCTCTTTGTGATAGTCAGTCAAACTGTAATGTAGTGACTCACAATGGCTTCTCTTCTACTGTTTTGTGTGATGTCACTCGTAGGATGTGGAGGCAGTTCCTTTACCTGATGGAAATGTCTGTCTATTGGCTCTTCCATCTGAATGCTCTCAGGGGGAGGGACCAGCCGCAGTGTCTTGCCTCAAACTGTTCTCCCGTTACATCACAGACAGAAAGGTGACAATGTTAGGTTTATGTAACACTGTTTTATATTCCCATTACATTTAATAAAATAGAGCATAATCAACTTGAGTTCTGACTCACCATTTTGCTTGTCTCATTAGGGTGTGGTCTCTGGAATATTGCTGGTGACGTCCAATAAGATCTTCTTTGACCCTCAGAAGTCTCACCCACTTGTTCAGGAGAATGGCTGTGAAGAATATGTATTCTCCTGCTCTGTGGATGATCTTGCCTCAGTGTCCTTCTACACAGATATCTCTCACATTCACTTCAACAAGACCACATACAGGTACTTTCTGCTTCACTGCTTGAATATATATATATATATATATATATATATGAAGAGTTCATATGCAAAAGCCTCTAAATGCCATTTGAAATTTTCTTCTAAAATGACCATTTTTATCAAGCTTGTATTTTTTAGTTCAGTAATTTCACTTAAATGGTAATTAATAGGTAATCTTCATTGCCATTTAAGTGAAATTACTAAACTTAAACAAGCTTGATAAAAATGGTCATTTTAGAAGAAAATTTCAAATGGCATTTAGAGGCTTTTGCATCTGAACTCTTCATATATATATATATTAGAGGTGTGCATTGGCACTGCCCTCCCAATTCGATTTGGTTATGATTCACCAGGTAACAATTTGATTCTATGATGCATTGCAATGCATCAAAATTCTACTGCACACAACAAGGCAAATGTTTCATTGATCAAATTTTTCTTTCAGATTTAACAGTTGCAAGTCATCAAAAAGCAAAACAAACAGCCACAAGAAAACCCATCAGTCAGCATTAGAGGCCATTCCCGCTCCTATGTCCTCCGTTTCACATGATCTGACAGCGACTCTGGATGCTAAAGAAGAGGATGAGGCAGTTGGAGAGACTAGGGACATGTCTGAAGCTGAGGAAATGCTAACATCTGCTGCTGCTACTTTCTGTTGTGGAGGACCAGACAGTGTTCAGAGAGGAAACAAAGAATATGAATTCTGTGACAAATCCGAACAGCGGTCATATTTGGAAAGACAGCTGTTAGGTAATCAAGATTTTTACTCAAGAACTTTGACATTTAACTTGTACTGACAGTGACCACTCTTTTTTTCATCAGCCAATCCACTTAGTTATCTCTCTTCACTCATTAGGTCCTAGCCCTTCTACATCTAGTAGTGGTATAAACAGATCTATGATGTTTGTGAGAATTCGACAGAAACTGCAGCATGGGAAGAAAAGGGCTTTCTCTAAACCTAAAGTTTCTTCAAGAGACACCTGGTTCACTATGCAGCAGGGAAGGTACTTAAGCCTTACCTAGACTACCAGTACACAGCCTGCTTGAAATAAACAGCTAAACATGGCAGAATGTTTTAATTAATGTCCTGATAATGTTATAGTACTTGAACTTAACTGTGAGGTTACTTCATCTCACTTTCTTTTTCTTTTTCCATTTCTGCCTTTTGATTTTGTGCTGTAGCTCAGATGAGCTGTACGCTTATATGAGCCAGCATCGACCGGACCTGTGCATCCTGGAGGGAGGTGAGGAGGATGAAGCAGAGCATGATGAAGAGGATTTTGTGCTTCTCGATGATGATGAGGAAGAAGAGGGTTCTCCACGAGAAGGCCAGGCCGGAGAGGACTGGGAGGTCAGTAATTTTCTAAATGCATGGATTAAATAAATAAATTGAGATAATACATGCCAATAGAGCAGGAATGAAAATAAAAAATGCCTGATTTGGTTGGAATATGCAGAGGATGTTTTTTGCTCGCTTTAATCATACTAAAACTAAAACACTTTGCATTTGTAGATACAGACATGGTAATTCACTGGTAGAATATGCTTAACAATATTCATGGACTTGTAATGTTGCTTCTATGACAACCAGATTACTCACACCCTCAGTATATCAATCATGGTCAAAGGTCAAGAACTTGAAGCCTTATTCTGACACATTCAGCTCAGGTGATGTTCAATTTTTTTTTTGGTTTTATAAAAGTAAAAACTCTTTTCATGTAACCTTAATGTTATAGTAAGTCATGTTTATCAAAATAAAACTGAGGTCCACTTAATTGGTATTTAAATAGTATAGGCTTATGTTGAACTTTATGCTTGTACAGATGGTGCTGTATTAAGCAGTACATAAAGACTTGAATGAAAAGTGTTTTTGTTGTCTTCATGAAAACATCTAAACGTCAATGTATTTGACAAATATTGCATCTTATGCACTTCATATGTGATAAAGTACACAAACATCTCACAAATGTCATGAGAAGAAGCAGAAAGTGTCCAACTTCGGGTCTCCATTTTTAACTCTTCCATGCCCACGACTGGCAGATGAGATGTCACTTATTGGTGGAAGCTTGGTATAGTTAGACTCAAGTAAACACACCTAATGATTTGTGAAGGATCATGTGACTGAAGACTGCAGTAAATCCAGCTTTGCCATCACAGTAATAAATTACATTTAAAATAGATTAAATTACAAAACAGTATTTTAAAAAAAAGAATGTATAAATAAATAAACTTTAACCGTAACCTTAATCTTTAAGTGTTAACTATAATGTAAATATTTTTTAGCTTTATCTGTTATGTTTTAGATCTTGTTGCATCTGCATTAACCTGGAGACTTAAATCATATTTTCACAAATATGTTTGTATGTTAGGGAATTCAAACATGAATAAAGATGCTGAACATTCATTCAAGGTTTTCAAACATCTACATCTGTAAAACTACTGTTTGGAAGCGTTTGTCTCTTCAGCTCAGTTATTGGCAGTAGCCTATAGTTATTTTCGTGGTGCTCTATATTTTTCTGTAGAGTAGAGCGTGGTAAACTTATCATATAATTGGATTTATTTGTGTGATAGATAGGACTGGATAAAGAGTGAGTGGGCATTCGTAACTTACCTGTTGTGAAATATGTGTGTCTTGCATTATAAGAAATATATAAGATAAAAGTACTTACCAGTCATATCAATCTTTGTAAGAAAGAGCGCCACCAGCCGTGACCGTCCAAACAGCAAACACTCGCGCGCGGCAGTGACGTCATCGCACGCAGTATCGCGCGCGTTGGCTTCGGAAGGTTTCGCGCGTTCATGTTTTTACAGTCTGATTTTCGCAACCAATATGAGAATGACTAATTTCGAGAAAATGGTCGCGGACCAAGTCCGTCGACATAGGTACCTCTATGACCCGATTATGCGCGATAATACTGACGTTCAAATTATTAAAAATGCATGGAACGATATCGCCGCTGCCACCGGAAAAGACGAGGCAGATTGCCGTAAAGCGTGGAAGAATTTAAGAGACAAGTTTGTGAGGATCAAGAAGAGGGTCTACACAGGAAGCATTGATCCAAGTCCATACACGATCATGACAGAGCTGGAATGGTTAAGCCAATTTGTTAAACATCGGGGAAAAGGCCCAAATGTGAAGGTAAGAAACACAAATTATATTTAATTCATTTTTTATAATATGCACAAATGCATATAGTTAGGCATTTCTTGCATGAATGTTGCTAACTTCCTATGTAAAACGATCGAACTGAACGAAACGATTACTGTGTTCTCAGACTAGTGTGGAATGGGATGCCCGAGTCCGACACTTGTTATAAATAAATAGTTGGTTTCAGTAATAGTAGTAATATGGTACTGATTAGTATGGAATTAAATATTTGTACTTCTATTTCATTGTGGCTTTAATACTCAATATTAAAAAAAAATGTTTTATTAATATTGAATATAGTGGTTAGTTGTATACATGTTTGAAAACTATACCTATTGTTTAGTACGTTTACAACATCTTTTAGACCTGAATGTAATTCTCTAATTTTCTTGTTTCTTCGTGTAAAGGAAACATATAAAGTGGTCTCCATTGAGGAACAATTGAAGACAAACAGCTTCCCAACCTCTCCGGCATCAGAAACATCAGAGACTGTGACTTCTGCCATACCTCCACCCCTGTCCCTCATGCAATCATCGCCACGTCCTCCCACTCCATCCACTCCTCCACCCTGTCCATTACCCAAACGCAGCTCCTCGCCTTGTTCAATTTCAGCTTACCCTACCACAAGCATCTCATCCTGTTCCAATGCCTCACCATCTTCTTCTGACTTAATGCCAAAGAGAATGTCTACCACTGAGGAAGCCTTACTGAAGATACTGGAGCAGCTGGACTGGGAGAGGGAGAGGACCATGATGCAGGACACTGAAGATTTCAGATTCGCTGCCGTCATTGCTGACATGTTGGCAAAAATTGATCCTCAGCGGAAGCCTGAGGTTAAATTCAAGATCCATCAAGTATTGTATGAAGCTGTTCAAAAAACTCAAACATAAACAGCATAATGTTTTCACTGAGACATATAAATATATATTATTTCACAGATGTAAATGTTTATGTATATTAATAAAAACTTCAATATTCAACTGGAGTTTGATTTTATCATTACTTTATCAAAACAAAAGTTCTTGTAAAGCAAATTCTGAGTAAGTAGTACTTAAATGTGAAGACAAATTAATTCACAGGTTAAAAAATATTGTAGATTTTCATGCAGTGGAGTTCTATTGCACATGGCACACCGTGAATGAGCAAATTGGTTTAAACCTCTCATATACCTGTCCAGTGCTCCTTATTATTAAACTAGAAACTATAGTAGTTAACATGCTTTCATTATTTATAGGTGCTAGTTTAAAGTTAAACGCTTTTTATAAAAACATTTTTTAAAGAAGTCTCATATTTTCACCAAGTGCATAATTATTCCTGTGATGGCTGATTTTAACCAACCATTACTCCAGTCTTCTTTATCTCACAATCCTTCAGAAGTCATCCTATGCTGATTTTCTGCTCAATAAAACATTTGTTATTATCACTGTTGAAAACATTTGTGCTTTTTTAAATAAACTGAAACATTTTTCTTCAGGATTCTTTGATGAATAAAAATTTCAAAAAGCATTTATCTGAAATTGAGTAATGGTAAGTTCTGTTGTGAAACTCTAGAGGTTGATGGGTCATCCTTTTACATTTTTAACTACACGGAACAAGTTCATTGGTTCCTGTCGCATCTGCAGCCAATGAGCTTGCTGCTCAACATTTAAATGTGCGGTAAACAAGTTTTGAGAATCATTGTTGAATATTTCATATTTCTGCAGAAGCAGTAATAATCTACAATACCACCAATAATCAACAGCAGCATAGCAGAGCTATTCTACCAAGACCGACTACATTAACATTGTCATATTAAGACCATGCTAAAAATCTTCATTTTTATGATAGAAAAGTCTTTTTCATTTTTCATCAATTTAATGCATACTTGCTGAATAAAACTTAAAATCCTACTTACCCCAAACATTTGAACGGTAGTGTATGGGTTGGTGAGTCATACGCATATTGTTCCTGTACAGATGGTGTCAGTGGAGGAGAGTGGGCTGAAAGCTTCTGTCTCTACTGAACCAGACGGTTTGAGTAACATACTGAAGCAGAGTGTCATACTGGATGCCCAACAAGTTAGAGAGGTCAGTACTCACACACTTCAGTATACATGAATACTTATGCATGGTCATGCAGTTTTGGAAAATTAAGAACTGATCTTAATCTGGTGTGTGTAATGTGTAGTAAAATATGTAGCATGCATCTTCTCTCAGATCTCGAGAGAGCTGCCTCCACGTACCATTGGACGCACGTGGCAGCTGTCCTACAGCACGGACAAACACGGGGCAAGTCTCAAGACTCTATACAGAAAACTCAGCTCTACCGACTCGCCTGTGCTGATAATCATCAAGGACCACAACCAGCAGGTCATTATTTCACAGCTGGTGAAGTGGACAGCTGAGGGTCAAGGGTTACTGTTCAATTGCAATATTCATTCCATTTTGTTTTCGTAAATGTGAATTGTTATATGAGTGGTTCTAATTTCCGCCTCAGATTTTTGGGAGCTTCCTCTCACATCCTCTGCATCCTAGTGATGCATTTTATGGCACTGGAGAGACCTTCCTGTTCCTGTCTCACCCACGCTTTAAGGTACATATAAAGACTAATTTGAGCAAATTTATTATCATTGAGGGAAACAACTGTAAATGTTTATGAGATCAAATGAAATTCTCAATGGGAATTTCTTTTAAACACGTCTGAGATTATTTTTTATTACATTTAAGTGTTTTCGATGGACTGGAGAAAACTCATTTTTCATCAAAGGGGATTTGGACTCTTTTGCCATTGGAGGAGGAAGGTACATATTCATATTCTGCATATCTCTTGTCTTTTATTTTAGACTTGCAAATGTGATTTGTATAAGTAAACTTAATTTTTTGTCTCTCTTCATTTCAGTGGTCACTTTGGTCTGTGGGTGGATGAGAGGTTGTTATTGGGCAGAAGCAGCCCCTGTTTCACCTTTAATAACTGCAGCCTGTCTGAGACAAACGACTTCACAATTTTGGATTTGGAAGCCTGGACATTTGGCTGACTCATGCTCCAAATAATCATGATTTAGTGGGAAATATGAGACCTGTAAATGAAGGCAAAGAGACCCTGCAAACTGAATATTCTTCCTGAAGTGAAGTCAAGGGAAGAGTTTTGCACCAATGGATGAAAGCTCACCTATCATCTTTACCACTTAAAAGAAAGCCTGTTTCGTCTTGTGATTAAGAGATTAAGATCCATTTGGGTTCTTTTCATTATTTAAATGAGTGCATTTCATCGTACAAGAAATTACATCTCAAGTTGAATTCTGGGACAGAATGGAAAACTATCTGCCCAAATAACCTCTGAATTGTATGTGTTCATACTGGTGAGGTCAATCATGGATCCCACATTATTACTGCAGCGCTAGTTACAATGCGCATGTTACTTTGATGAGGAAACCTTTTCTATCTGTGTTAATGTATAACAACTTAAATAAGCTACAACCTGACTAAATGGTACTGATTAAAGCCTCACCTGCTGTTAGTAAGCTAAGCATCTGCAATACACAGTAGCTTAGGCATTAGTTTAAATTTCTGCTACACTTTACACATAGAAAAGGTTCCTCGTCACTCAAGCCAAAACAAAAACAAGACTGAAATGATTTTGGCTTAAAAACCACACACAAACCTCAGAGCTGCATGTTTCATGTCTTGAGACTTTTGGTGTCACAATACTTTCTTAGACATTCACAAAGTCTTAAGCACTTCTGTGGATGGATTCCTAGCCTGTAGGAAAAACTCTTTCTGCAAAAAACTCGAACAATGGTAATAAAATCAGTTCACAAAGATATCTGTACAAACAATGGCTCTAAATAAAGGTCAAAATATAAATTAGTCATACAAGACCAATGCAATATTTATACATGTGAAAATGCAGTCACTCAATATTGAAAGTGTTCATTAACTTGCCTAATAAACTTCAAATTAACAATAAACACTGTTGTATTTATAAAAAAGCAAATTGCATCTATTTGACAATGGTAGATAATTAGTAATGCAAAGTTAATTTAGTTGCATCATTTAGTAAAGGCAGTGAATACTATGCCATTGTACATTGTAATTACATATTACGTCCTTCCTTCTGCTCTTCAGCTTAAATATGGTAGAAAGAATCAGACGTGAGTGCATGTGAGCTCTTTGCAATAGATTTAATTTTTAAAAGAAAAAAAAATGTATATTCCTAACTAGCCATTATGCATCTCCAACTTTACACAAAAGACGATTTCAGCAGATATATTAGAGCCCATGGCAGCTTTCCTGCAGCTGTATGGTTGAGCAGAGATCCAAAGCTGTGCTTTGTGTGTATTTAAGCACAGTATTCTGTTGAGACAGAAAAGCAGGCGTTGCTTCCAGACTTAAACAACAACATCAGGCCTGGCCTCACCCTGATTGGGCTTTCAGACGAGACCATCACAAACTGCCTAGTCGTGGAAGCCACAGCCAGGATCATTCTGTCTCCTACAGAACCATCTGGAATAACGAAAAATAATGCAGCAAAACATAAGTGGCTTTGTATCTAATGAAACAAAAGTATAAAAGTGGTTTTATCAGATCAGTAATACTACATAATGCTGTTTAAGTTCATTAATCTGAGCAATAGATCAGACTAAAGACATTTGCACATAAAACGGCAAATTTCTATATAAAAATATATAACTTAATTGAGATTGTGTATAGCTAACACCCCGGTTTCATTGGGGTGACAAACCACACTCTTGTGATCGTAGTGACATTATATTGTGCTTTTTTACATGTCACACTAAGGACCATGTACAAGAAGATGTGGTCAACAGCTGCCTTCTGAATGAAGAAATTGCATCAGATCCTCTGCATACCTTTCCTCAAAGCAGACATGGGGGAGTAGAGCTGATTTCAGCACTTCCCTCATTTTCCCCTCATACACTCTCTTCAGTTCTCTCTGAAGTGCACTGATTTTTCCAGAGGCAGAAATCTGATCTTTAAATTAGTTTTATGATTGCAGGTAAGGTCTGGCCTTTTCAAGTCCTTCCTGCAGGAAGCGGATGTATGTGGAGCTTGAGGGATCTTCAAAACCTGCAGAGAAACTGAGAGCTGGCGCCTCTTCCTCAGGTTTCATAGATGTCTGGTCCAGGAAATTATTAGCATTGATGTGATGGACCTGGAGAAGTTACAGTGACATTCATCTAAGCAACTTGAATAAGATTTGCACAAATTAAGAAATCTAAAGCAGACTCACTACAGTGCCGTTAGGCAGCGCCACCATCATCTCCACTGGAAAAGTATACATTTCCAAATGCAAACGAGCCTTTTCACTCAAATCCAGATTCTTTTTATCACCCTAAATGGAAGGAAAATCACTTAATTAGCACTGATACGCATCTACAACTGTACGTTTTTAATTTTAACTTTGAAAGTCTTCACCTGCAGATCCTCCAGGTCTTTGACTAGAGACCAGCTGCTGATGAAGCTCTGGTTGAGTAAGGCCAGAACGGGCGAACTCTCGAGGACTGTCTCCCGAAGAGTCCGCCCTGAACCTACCAGAGATAAGGAGAAACAGAAGTGTACAGAACGCAAATCAGAGAAACAACTAATATAGTTGAAAGAACTTCAGTACTCTAGCTTTAAAACACACTCTGACCAATGATTAACACTACCAGAAGATCTATGTCATGCTGACTGATCTATACACATGTCATACACCGAAATTAAAATTCTGGGCACTTGCTTTTTTTTGTATTATTGTATTAATATTAGACTTGAAATTCAATCATTCGTTCATTTTAATGACCCCGAATTTAAAAAAAAAATGACAAGCCAATAAAATAAAATAACCACACTTTTATTGCAAGTAACTGGACAGAAAATCTATTAATATAACATTTCAATATATTATTATTTGAACAATTATCCAGATAAAGTATAGTCCTAAAAAGCTATTATTATCAGAGTATAGACCATTTCACAAGATGTAAACAACACTGGTCCAGAAGCACTTCCTGTTTCAGTTTTTTAAGACTACATAAATGCTGGGATAAAATACAACCTACAGAACATTTAAAACTGAATCAAAAAGTTAAACAAACATCTTTAAGATGTTTTCTTTACATGTGAAATAAAGAAAACAGTTACAAACTGAGACAGGAAGTGCTTCTGGACCAGTGTTGTTTACATCTTGTGAAATGGTCTATATAAGCATAGCATAGCGGAATTGTGAACGAGAGGCTAGAGTAATTTTACCAGCATTGCCTAGCACGGATATACCAACCATGTTACAGCACAGTACAGCTGTTCCAAACAGAAAAAAAGTGTACTACTACTACATAGAACTTATGTCGGCGTGTTATTTGAGTGGACTTTTCCGATGAAATTGAGCAGAGCATCAAATCCCGCAGTGATAACAGCTAGAGCGAGAGGAAAGGACTGAGGGGCTGTTTTTTTTGCTTTTTAAGCCCAAAAAAACCCAAAAATGCCTTTTCAGCCAGTAATCTTTGGCTGACGAAATTTCAGTTCATCCCTAATGCTGACCCTTATGGCCAAATTAGCTCTTCCAGCAGCATGAATATACAGTATAACTTTGTTATAGTCGACCATGGGTGTCTTACCTCAGCATGACTGGTCATCCAGGGATCCCCAGAGCAGAATGGAGTGAATCAGCTTTTTCTCAGCATCAGCTCTGCTAAAGGCCTCACTGAATGGTAAATATGGCACCTTCCAAAGAGAAGACCCACCCATTGATGTGACATTTTGTGTGAAAATAATGGCCTCCAAAAAAGCATGCATGGATCGAATGTTCACAATTAGACATTTTTTAGAAAATACACGCACTCAAAATTTCACTTTTAGAAACAAAAATGGTTATTTATTACGAAATGTTCACTGAATGGTTCTTTGGGGAACCCTTCTTCCATGGCATTGGCGTGAAAACCCCCTTTTGAAAGCTTTATTGGTGATATATATTGGTGGCATTTCGTAATAAATAACCATTTTTGTTTCTAAAAGTGAAATTTTGAGTGCGTCTATTTTCTAAAAAATGTCTAATCGTGTTGCTAATGTTCAACTATGAATTTGTAGGAATTGTAGCAAGGGAGTAAATTGTAGCAATTGTAAAAAGTGTAGACTCACCTTTTTAAATGGGTACATTGCGACCTCCAAGCATCTTGATGCTTCATCTCTGCTCAGCTCTGCACTCCAGACAATCTCCTCGAACACAAACTGAATGGGCTCACCTGCCTCCCCTCGGCTGTCAATCATGTTCCCTTGCTCGTCATAGATCACTGAGGGAGTGGAGGGTCCTGCTGCCTTGAGCTCCATCTGTAAACATGTACAGCCCGTTTACTTTATGTATCATGTTTTAGCTAATCATGCCAAGATGACAGTAAACTAATAATTTGAGCTTTGATTCATCAGCAATAAGAAAAACTGATTAAAGGGCATGTAAGTCAGTGGAAGCAGTTTCAGTATTATGTATAACCATCAATCAAAACCCTCTGAATGTGTTGTGCATAATTATCAGCTCTAACCTGAGGCAAGTATCCAATATCCACCTCCATGTTACTGCTCTCGCTGGCGCCATACAACCACTCCATGTCCACATTCAGAGTTCTGCCATATAAAACACACACTCAACTGGGGCTGCACAATAATGGCAGATAATCACAAGTATTTGATCACAATACGCAGCCCTACACTCAACACCTGCAAGTGCTTATTCTTGCAATTAGAAATAGTGGAGGGAAGACTGACTTGTCATTTGGGACGTAGAGATGAAACTCTCGGATGTGAGAAGCATCTTTGGAGAGGATGATGTTACCAGTAAACTGCCCAGGAGTGAACCAGAATGGAAAGTTGGGAACATCATTTAGCTGGAACTCTGCATGAATTCTGTAATTATTAACAAAATACCATCAGAATCCGTTGGAGGCTCACAGTTAAAATAAAGTTAAAACAAAATATTTCAGTTACAGTTACATGCACACTAGATTACTACTGGATTTGAAGAAATTCCCATTTATTTTAGATTTCTAGCATGGCAGTTTTTTTTAACTCACCTGAAAACAATGTCATAATAAAAGTCACTAGCAGCCCGTATACAAGCCACAGCTCCCTGTGGAGCAAAGCGGGATTTCACAAAGGGCCGCGGGTGGAACATGCTCAGCAGAGAGTGGATAAGCACCTGCAAAAAAATGACAATCACGTCACACATCTACAACTAAAGAGATCAAATCAATCAATCGAATCAAAATACTCTTCAAAATCTTAGATAACCTATTATTCAAAAAACATGCTTTGAATAAATACAAGTGATATTAAAAAAAATGTTTAATGGGTGTGAACAATGAGCATTTAAACTCACTGAACTAATTTCAAAATGGTAAAGGTATATTTGTACCTCTTTGCCTCGCGGAGTGGGAGGATGATAACGGTTATTGGGAAGGTAGCCAGTGAAAATGTTCAATTCGCTGGGAACAATCCACCAAGTGTCACCCAGGGCATATTTACCACTGGGTGGCAAGAAGACCTTGAACTGACTGGCATAAAATGTGGATGAAGGAACAGCTGGACGTTTCCAAGACCGCAGCCCACTAAGAGAGCTGTGTGAAACCTGTTGAGAAGGACACTGCACTGAATTTACTTATAACTTATAAAATTGTAATAATGATAAAAATTAATAAATACATTATTATTACTTTGAATTGTTCATTCTATTACTTTGTAACATTGTGTATGTGTATATATATATATATTAGTGACAAATGTAAATAATGAAGTCTAACGTTTAAATTACCCCTAGAAAGCCATCTTTGCTCTTAGTCATGCTTTCCAGTAGTAATGGCTGCATTTTAGCATGCATGGTCAGCGTCTCTCCATTTGGGTCATGTGGTATCTCCTCTTCAAAGTCTGGAGGAGGTTCCACACCTTTAGGCAACAGAGATGGACATCAAGCATTACAGATTACAACAATGAAAAATACATTGCTTTAAAACTCTAAGCTGGCATTCAGTTTTCTACAGTGATGGATACAGACCTTGAAGCACGTTAATTCTGCTTTAAAAAGACTATATCTGCCTGTGGAAGGTTGTTAATGCTCTCCAAGAGAACATACAGGGTAAATAATACCTGTGAGTTTTTCTGCAATAGGTTTGAATTCCTCTGGACTGAGATAAAAGTCATGATCAGTATCCAGGGATGAGAAGAAAAAGAGGCCATCTGCTCCCAACACCTTCAATCCTTCTTCCTACAATAGATGCAATCCAAACAGAGTAGAAAGCTCAGCAAGCTCAGAACTAGTAATTGTACAACAGGCTTCACGATTAGTTATTTTGAACAGTTTGTTTGAAAGAACTGGGGGGGGGGGGGGGGGGGTGTCAGAAATTATTTTACCATGCTGTAATTTTGGCTTCCCGTTTATTGTAATGTCGTCTTAGTTCTCGGCGAGTTTTAATAATAATATTTTCATGCTTATTATTTTACTATAATGTAATTATTATAATAAGCATGCTTCTGTGCTTATTGTTTTACACGACTTGAATTTTACAGAACTGGGACCGCTCCAGTCAGATTTGTGGGTGATTGATTTTAAACATTAGAACAGGTACTGTAAACCGGTTCAACTGATCAATTGAAAAGATTCGACTCAAAAGAACAAACCATTCGTTTGGAAAGCACAGCTAAAAATACTTGCCCAGAGGGCAACAAAACAATGATGGCTGCGTCACTGAATTACTGACATACTTTTTGTGTTGTGTCTGGGTTTATTGTCGGTCTTAGAAGGAGGGCAACCAGGAGAATGTTAGAAAGTGACACAGTGATGTATGAAAAGGAGGGGGTTGGTTGGTGCTCTCAATCTTTCCCAGCAGTGGCAATTACCCAACCCTTGTAAAACAGCGGACAACTGGGGCAACAGATGTGAGTTTACTGTTCGGAAATAACAAAAGAGGACGTGGCAAAGAGAGCGCAAGTTTGTACTGCCAAATAATCTACACTTTAACGTTACTTCACTAACGACGAATATTAAAAGAGGAGTGTTTAGAGATAAATAAACGTACCGCATTTTAGCCAACTACAAATACAATATGTGGCTTGAACCGCTAGCTACAATAAAGACAATCACGCAATATCTCTCGAATGGCTCTGGGAAGCATCCCTCTAGTCCCCCGGGGTTCAAACTGTAATGAAATCCTGAACAAACTGATATTAACTTACATGTCGTTTGACAAGCTGGGTGTCCTGATAATATTTAATGCAAAAGCCGATGAAAGGAACAGCAGCGATTAAGAATAAACTGAAGAGCTTCTTGAGACGTGAGCGGGCGCGTCTGCTGGATGGGGTCGCGCGATCTTCATCATGATCAGCCGTTGGGTCTGCAGCAGTAGTTTTATCCACGTCTGCGGCCATACTCTAATAAATGTCTCTATCTGCTCTGTAAATTACTACAGGGGCATAAAAACAGCCCAGGATGAAAACTACTCACACTGTTGTGGAGCAGGAGGAAATCACTCCTGCTTCTCCGAGATTTCTCCTGCTAATATGGATCATGTCGGACGCTCTTAAAGGGACAGTGCGCACACTTTGGGTGTGTGATCGATGATCAAATCTAGTTACTGCGCTGCCTATTTAGACAACATTCGGAACGTGGCTATGATGAGGAAAATGCTGTCTAGATAGGCAGCAGAGTGGGTTTTAAAAACACAGTATAATGTGTGACCATAATACTACGGCTCGGGGTCAGATAATGTCTTTTTGTCCTTCGTGTTGCTAATGGTAAATATTCGCTTAATGTCCATGAAAGATACGGGCATTTCAACCACAGGGATATTGGACGTGAACAGTTAATATTAAGTGAAAAAATTAAGAATTGGGTCAATATTATTATTATTAACATTTAAGAAACAATGAATAAATGACTTATAAGAAGGATCTGTACATTTACAACTGTAGCAAATTTCAAACATAATGCAGGGTCCCACTCTTTAATAAACGTATGTCCATATTTCTTCCATGACAGATTCGGGTTTTAACAAATAATTCATAGTTTGCTGGCATGGTTCATATTATACATTTAAATACCATGGTTCAAGAAGGGCACATGACAAAATGTAATACTATAGGTGAAAACTATATTGGCACAGAGTAAGAACTACATTTGAGAGAAGACATTACTGGATTTATAATTTTATTTCAGCTCTCTTAAAGCACATTTATTATATATACACACTCACACAGAGTAAACACTATGAGGTTTACAGTCCCAGAAGTTTGCTTGTTGTAAGCTGATTTTAACAACGTAATTTCACAAGTGTATGAAAGTAGTCAGCTGTTCCAGAACTTCTCCAAAATCAAACAGGGTCCAAATTTACTGAGAATGAATATACATCAAATATTATATCAACTTATTTTAACTTGTAATATACCTGACACTGGAATTTTAAACCTGACACTGGTTAAATGTAGGAGTTTTTCCATTATCATAAATTAATTTCAACTCTGAAAACAGTTAAACTGTTGGTCTGAGTCCTCAGACCTAATGGTTTTACTCAGAAAAGTCCATAGATAGGTAGTCGATTTCAGTCCATATTCTCCTCAACTTGCTGTGTGTGAACCTCTATGGTTTTGTGGGGGATGTAAGAGCCCATTCCTGCTGCCCGCTCTGCCTCAGCTTGTGTATACGGCTCTTCCCTCAGCTTTTTCAATCTAAAAATAAAATATATACATATATTAGGAAGGAAGTCTAAACAACCAGGGATGTGTTATGGAGCTTTTAGAATGAGCATCATTCTAATTGTAAACGGGCAAACCCAAGCATAATTTTATTCGAGTTATGTAGGTACATGTATATTACATATGATCCAAAGATTCAACATTAAGGATGAGAAGAGGAAGAAGTTATCAAGGCTCTGCTCACCTTTTTTTGTGAACTTTGGTCTTGAAATGCTCTTTCATGGTTTTCAAATCAACAAAATATCTCCTGCAAAGAAAAAAACAAAAAAGCATTTCAGATTAAAAACTGAATTGTATGGTGTGTGCGTGCTTTGTTTTCCGTGTTGGTGAGGTGTGACTTACGCGCAGTGCAGACAGTAATGCTGGGCACTGCCTGTAACATCATAATCTACTTCTTGCTTTAATAACTTAGCAGCATTTCCAGGGATCATGTCTGCATGAATCTGGTCAAGGTCCTTTGTTCTGCGCTTGGTCTTCCATGTCTTGGCAATATGCTTCTTCTTGCCACTTTTGTGGTTTCCTACCTGTTTGGACTTACCCATGATCTGAAAACAAGAGGAGAAAACAGTTTTTTTTACATTTCTGAAGTGAGTTTAGGGAGTTTTGAACTTCTCCAAAAGTCTGTATCATTGAACCAATGTCATTACAACTAAAATCTGCCACCTGAACCTCAAGTTGCAAGTTCCAAACTTGTATGAGTTTCTTTCTTCTGCTGAACACATAAGAAGATATTTTGAAGAATATGGGTTGCCAAACACGAACTCTATAGACTTCCATAGCATAGAAAAAAATACTATGGAAGAACATGGGGTCCATCAAGTGTTTAGTTACCAACCTATTTCTTCAAAATATATTTTTGTGTTCAGCAGAAGAAAGAAACTCATACAGCTTTGGAACAACTTGAGGGTAACTTTCCTTTTTGGGTGAACTATGCTTTTAATCTGTCAACAGAAAAGTTGAGCTATCAAATGAAGAAAAAAAAAATTACAATTTAAGCTCCAGTCTGAAAATTAGCAAAATGGGGTCTTTGGGAGAGAGAAAACCAGTTCGTATGACAGTGTTATATCACTCGCAAAGAACAGCCAATCAAATACATTCACCAAAAACATCCCCTCAAACCCCCTTTACATGCTTTCTATCTCGCAATAAGCGCACTTTTATCAAGTTGTCATTATGAATTATGGATGTGTAATTAAAGTAGAAGTGATAAAGATATATACATTTTCCTTTACTCACGTTAACACGCAGCTGCCTCACCGTAAACACGTTGGACAACCGCTCGAATAACTTCCGGGTCGGCACGCGGGCTCGTGTTATGTGCGCGTTCATCTCTAGAGGGCAGTAGACAGCACACGACTGAAAGCAATCAGACGAAGCAGAGTTGTTTCATCGTTGCTATGGAGAACAGTCTATGCTGCTATGGAGGTTTCTAGAGTTTTTAGTAGTTTTTACTAAAACAAATTGAATACAGCATCATGTCTGGTAAATATATTCATAATATATAATGCATAATAAATATTCTGTATATAAACGCTTGTTACTTGCTGAACCACTTAAACTATGTTGTTGCTTTTTAGTTGTCACTTCAAGATATAACAGTCTTATTGATTTAACTTTGCTACTCTTTGTTGCAGAGACTACAACACTTAAAATATCTTACATTTTTCCAAATGGGGACAAATATGGTGAGTTAGTTGTAAGTTTTTGACATGTCCGTGATTTTTCACTACTTTTAATTAAGCACATTAAAATGTGTCTGTTTGTGTGTTGTGATTAGAGGGCGAGTGCTCTCGTACTTCAGATGGTGTGGTTATAAGGAAAGGGTCTGGCACACAGTCATCACCCTCTGGACTTACATACACTGGGGAATGGGCCAATGATAAGGTCTCTCTCTCTCTCTCTCTCTCTCTCTCTCTCTCTCTCTCTTTCTCTCTCTGTGTGTGTGTGTGTGTGTGTGTGTGTGATATGATTTAAAAAAAAGAATTAAGTGAAACAGTCACATGTGCGCTAAAGCTCTGGGCTGGACTGAAAGTCAGTGACATACTGGAGCTTCAGTCATATGATCTCCTTTCATAGCCTACTATTATTTATGCTTTTGTCTCAGTTTTGAATGGATTATGCAGTAAAGTTCATTAAATGTAAATTAAAATGTAAAAGTGAAATCAAATGTGAATTTAGTAATTAAGTCTTGGTTTCTGTTGTTGTGGCCAGCAGATGAATGGCAGAGGAACTCTTACACACCCATCAGGGGCAAGTTACAGTGGCCTGTTCAGAGACAACATGTACCATGGCAAAGGAATTTACAGATTTCCTGATGGGACAAAATACACTGGAAACTTCCACAACAACAGGTGAAACAATATTAAATCAGCCCTTGGTCTCAATGAAAAACTGATTTTATATGAAAAGAAAAAGTTCACTTGATTTTTTTACAGATTAGAAGGTGACGGAGAGTTCACAGATTCACAAGGACTTGTGTGGACTGGGATGTTCCATAACAAAGCAGCACTGGGGCTGAAGCTCAAAGTCAACATGTGACATGCACAGATACACACACCATTTAAATGAATACAGTGAAACCCTTTATTTTCGACCCCAATTTGATGGCACTCACTAAAAAGTGTTTTATTGTTTTGTTTTTTACTTTAATCACTGGATCAAGCTCAACTTTAAAATATAATTTGAAGCACTGAATTATCAAATAGTGAAAGTAAAATATGAGCATCTTTTCAAGACTATAAAGTGAGTCAACTTGCGGATAATCATTAAGAATTAACGCCTGTGAAGCTACTAAGAGAGACCTAAGATACACAGTGATGCATTACCACAGCTAGCAGCCCTGAAGCATTGATGTGATCTGTTATACAGATTAAATGACTCCAGTTCCAGCATCATCCACTTTAAGATTAAAAACACATGTTCTTACACACTGCACTTCAGAAAGAATCATGACTTTGTTTTGTGGGAGGAATGTGACTCTCTGTGTACAGCCATTGGTGGAGTGCATCTTCAAAATACACGAGCATGCACAAGCAGCTGAGCTCATGACTGCAGTGAGAAGTCAGGAGTTTTGTAAAAGCATGAAGCCCAATTTCCTGTCCTCTGGAGTGAGAACATGTTTATTGTGAATCAGGAAAGCTCAATCTTGCTCCTAGAGATCTACTGCCCTATAGGCCACTTCTAATCCTGCTTTAAATAAACCTGAAGCTCCAGTGCATTTGATTAGATTTGAAACTGAACTTCTTTTTTTAATTACTTTTCATTGCTATACCTTAATTTAATTTGGTATGACTCAATGTTCAATTGTGAGTTTATGACAATAATTTTGTGGGTGTTTTTGCTCATGTGTCTAACGGATCCTTTCCAGAGCTCATACAGAGTTCATTGTAAAATGGAAAATTGGTCTTAAAGGTTGAAGAGGAAATTAAATAGTCTGATTTTGAGCCATAAAAATGCTAACAACCGTCTCTATCTTTCTCCCTCTCTCCCTTTATCCATCCACTTACTGTAAAACAAGGCCTCTTTTTGTCTTGACTTCATCAGACTCACATGTTTCAAAGAGGAGGGGAAGAGATAGGTGGGACAGATTAGAGAAGTGAGAAAGAAAGAAAAGTGATAGAAAGACCAGAGTCAGAGAGCTCTCATGTCATTTCCAACCATTTCTAAATGGTTCATAGAAGACTGACATTTCATCAAGTTGTAAACTTGTTAGTTTGAGTAAAGAAACTCGACTAGGAAGGATCCAAACCACAGGATCTGAAACAATCTTGGATATGGACCTGGAAGACCATCAGATCATGGAGAATGGAAAAATAGAGGGTAAACAATTTCTCTTTTAAATCTGAAGAAATGCTTAGATCTTCCTTCTTTATTTACATACATAATTGATCATTAATGACGTCCACTTTAGAGTTCAAATAATGGCTTCTCTTGCATAGGTGCATGTTTCTATTATCTGTAAAAAAAAATAATCTGTATGAAAATATATGTGTGTTGCAGGTACAGGTAATGACATAGATGCTGTAGACCTTCAGGTAATCTAAATTGCTCTCTCTCATACTCTATTAAGAAATTGTAAGAAAATTAATTTGACTTATTTACATTGTTTAAATAATTGCTCATTCTAATCACATGCACACAGATTACAGCTGTTGAGACAATTAATCGCTAATAGGAAGAGTGTGACTGAACTCAGGCCACATTTAGTTTGACTCTCCCTAATGCTAATCCTGTTTAACCTTCACCTCTTTTTTCCTTCTGTCTTCTTTGGTTTTGTCTCTCAATCCTGGTGACCTCTGACTCCTTGTTTCAGTTGCAGGCAATGTGGGTGGAGCTAAAATCTGGAGTTGGAAGCATGGTCGAAGATTTCGCCACCCTACGGCAAACCTACAGCCGACTGGAGGACAGGGTCTCCACCTATCAGCAAGAAACTAATGACAAGATCCTGTCTCTCAGAAACACACTTAACACATTACAGGTTCGAACACACATATTATGTGACTTAAAACAAATGGATAAACACATAAAATTTTGGGTCAGCAAGATTCTTAAAAAAAATCTACTTTTATTCAGTAAGGATGTATTAAGTTGATTAAAAAACTTCTGAACTTTCCATTCATCAAAGCTGAAAGAAAAAAAGTGTTGAGCATCCCTAGTGTTTTTTACCATTGATAATTATAAGAAATGTTTTTTTAAGTATGATGTGACACTATTGGCTACTGAAAACTAAATTTTACCATCACAGGAAAAAATTACAATTTAAAATATATTCAAATAGAAACCAGTTATTTTAAATTGTAATAATACTTATAAATAATAACTAAATAATATTTTTACTCTATTTTTAGTCAAATAAATGCAGCATTGGTAAGACTTAAAAAATGAGACTTTCAAAATTTTTGAAAGACTTCAAAAATGTACCAACTTTTGAATGGTAGTGTATTCTATGTACAAATTAAATTCATATTTTTTAAAATAAATTAAATATTAAAATAGTCAAAATATATTGCAATTCTTTTCTAGAACAATTTCATGTTTTTTTTCTGTACTTTCATTTAAAAATATTGCTCATATTTTGGCTATATTGTCTTTTTTTATTTTGTGTGTGTGAAGGAAGACATAAGTACAGTTCAAACGCAGCTCTCTGAGGTCCGGAGCAACCAAAAAGACCAACAGAGGGACCTGGACCTCATGCAGAGCACACAACACAGGTCTGTTAAATTGTTAAATATTATTTTACAATTTATGCTACAGTATATTAAACATTAAATTAAAAGCAATCTAGCAAGCTTGGGCATGCATTTTAAACATATAAACATGCTGGATCATTGACAGGAAAGGCTCAAGGGGGGAGGGGTCAATGGATGGCCACGCCTCTTCAAACAGCCAAACAGAACTCAATCTCATTCAGCATTACATCAGTAGCCTGTCAGCCAATCCGAGTGAGTATAACAATTTAGAGACAGATGTCTAATGAATTCTCTTTTTTTGTACTAAAGTCTAACAACCATGAGCTATAGCCAGAAATGATTGCATGAGAGTGTATGAGAGTACTACAAGTTGTGTTTGTTTGGTTAGACTCTTATCCTGAGCATGACGGGCAAAAAAAGTCTCCAATTTGGAGGGAGAAAAAAAACAGCCGAGATCTGAAAGAACAAAACAACTCTGCTATAAGTGAGTGATATGCAGTGGAATATAATTGAAAGTGTTACTATTGTCCATTTGTCATAACAACAATAGAAGTGAAAAATGAACAAAGAGTTTTAAAATCATGTCTTTTTTCAGCTCAGAGGCAGGCGGCAGCGCTGGAGCTTTTGGAGTCTGAAAGAGTGTATGTATCCTATCTCTCACTCCTGTTAAAGGCCAACATCAGTTTTAACGGCTCAGAGAACCTCAACGTCAAAGATAAACGGTAAGTATGTATCGCTCTCACACATATAGCATCATCTCAGAGTCAAAAAGTGGCCCAATTGATCAAAATTCCCCTGACAAAAGTATGCAGATCCTCACACAAACTGCAATTAGACATGACAGTACTTAGTGTAACAGAGACTCTAAATTGAATGTCTAATATGAACAGGACAGTATAAAGCAGGTTTTATACACAACTCAACACATACACAACTACATATGTTCTTCTCTCATCTGTTGTTGATTTTAGTATTGACACATTTGGAGAAGAGAATATAATGTAAAACAGCGTTTTGAGGTGCATCACGCTGCTTTATTATTCTCTTTTCTCTCTCTCAGGCCTTTCCCTCCCTCTCTGCGTTTCTTGATTCAGCAGCATCTGGAGCTCCTGCACGTCCTCCAGGAGAGGGTTCTTAAGAGCCACTGGCAAGGCATCATGGGAGATGTATTTTTAAGGCTCACCAGCAAAGAAGTAAAATATTATGATGAGTGAAAATGAGCTACATTTACCATCCTACCTTCTCCTATATTCCATTATGTTAATATCAAATGTGTGTTTTGCAGAGTGATTTTCTGGACCATTACGTATCGTATCTACGGGACTTGCCAGAATGTTTGACGGTTGTAAGTCTGTTTTCCTCTTCAAAATCAGGCAGCTTACTGGAGGTATGTATACATACACATGTTTTATATTTAATTAATACAAAATTAAAAAGACTTAACATTTCATATTTTTAAAGATCCTGATATTTGAGGCACATAGAGGCAGATTTAATACTATTATGTCAGAGAAATGGCATTTACATTATGTTTCTATGAATGTCTCAGTTTCATTTCATTTTCACCAGCTGTTGAGTTGAATTAGTCATGTTAAATAATATTAACATTAATGGTAATAATGATTACAAAAATAAATAAATAATACAATTATATTCATTTAAATTATTATATTAGTAGAATTATATATATATCATCAAGAATAAATATATAATAATTAATGTTTATTTAATATTTACTAATATAATGATAATATAATATATTATAGAATAATAATAGAACATTGAAATCTTATTTTTTTTTAAATATACATAGTTATTTTTATATATAGAGAGGTAATTTTTTATGGTTCCCCGTTTACTTTGAAATTTGCTGTTTTCTAACTATCGTAGACTTTCAGCTTTATTTTAATGGTAAAAAAGTCCAAGTTTTTCAGTAAATTAATTTGGATTCTACCACTCATAAAGACATATAGACATATGCTCATGTATCTTAGATGTTTGCATTGGCTCTATATTTACAACATTTTTGATACACGCATTGTCCTGTGTATATTTTGCTGCATATAATGTCTCATTTATTTGTTTTGTGTATTTTTCGTCATTCAACCTTCTGTATAACTAAACAGTCTACCTTTTTATGTATATTTATTTTGTTGCTTTTGTTTTGATTTCCACTTACTTTTGCTGGCTGATTGTTTGTCTTTGTCATTTTGAATGTAAAAAGATGAAAAAAAATTGATTAAACAGTTATTGAACATTGAAATTAGTTTCATTTAATTAGTTTCATTTAATTCAGTTTAATTTTTTGTACTAAAACCAGATCATTTAGATGTTACCACATGAAACACGTTAAGGTTACCTGGAAAATTTAGATGAATCTATACGGCTGCTTTCTGATTTGCTGTATGCATTCCAATCCAGAGTGACATCGCAGGGGATGAGACACGTCCATCGCTGCACTCTCTGCTTTTACAGCCTGTCCAACGTATCCCAGAATACCATACACACCTGCAGGTAATCAGACTCCTCGTTACTGTCATACCAACAGCATTGTATGTTTATGGGTTGTGCATGTTTGATGAAGTGACACTTGTGAAATTACCTTGGGTCAAGTATTGCTACATAAAAACTGTCCAATCAAGAAAATGCATGCTTGTGTCCATTTGTATTTCATGTGTTTTACAGAGTCTTCTGCAGCAGACAGAGTCAGAGCATCCAGACTATTACCTGTTACTTGTGTCTGTGCAACAACTCCGATCTTTCATGACCCAGTACAGCCATTTACTACAGCTCAACCAGGAGCTTCTGCATGACCACAGTCATGCCCTGCGTGAACACACACACAACCTGTGTACACACCAACAGGAGCGCCCCTCACACACCCGAAAAGAGCTAAGCAGGTAAGTGCAAAAGAACAAATATGTGAGTTATTGTGTTATAGGACTTACTGGCTCTTTTTTTTTCATGTCAGGTCTACAGTGAGACAGCTGTATAAAGTCGACTATGAGAAAAATTACAGCAGTAACAGTGCACAAAAGTGAGTACATAGAGTAGGTATGATAGCTTATTTTCACCAATGAATATAAACAAAGGTACTTGCGACTTTTCAATCTCATAATTCTGACTTTTTCTCTCGCAATTGCGACTTTTTTTTCAGAAGTGTGTTTAAATCTCACAAGAAGATATAGACAAAAAGATATAAACTATCAATTCGGACTTATTGTTTTTAAAGGATTAGTTCACCCAAAAATGAAAATTATGTCATTAATGACTCACCCTCATGTCAGTCCAAGACCTCCGTTCTTCTTCGGAACACAGTTTAAGATATTTTAGATTTAGTCCGAGAGTTGTGTATGGTATACTGTCCTTGTCCAGAAAGTAAATAAAGACATAAAGTAGTCCATGTAACTACAAATGTATTTTCGATGCTTCAAAACATTCTAACTAACCCACTGGTGTCACATGGACTACTTTGATGATGTCTTTATTTCCTTTCTGGATAAGGACCGTACATACATTTACAATGGAGGGACAGAAAGCTCTCAAACTAAATCTAAAATATATTAAACTGTGTTCCGAAGATGAACGGGGGTCTTACTGGCATTGGACGACATGAGGGTGAGTCATTAATGACATCATTTTCATTTTTGGGTGAACAACCCTGTAAAGTTATGAAGTCAGAATTGTGAGACATAGACTCACAATTGGGAGCTATAAACTCAAAATCACAAGTTATAAAATTGCAATTACATTTTAATTTTAGTTACACAATTACATCTCAAATAATGAGAAAAGTTGCCTGTAATTGAAGAGACACACTTATACATTTCCAATTTGTCTTTGTTTGTAAGAGATCCCTCTCGACGTAACAGACGCTACCCTGACTATGAAGCGACGCCCTATCACTATGATCCAGAAATCCCGTCCCCTGTCTCCTTCCTGTCCGACTCTGACTCTCGCCACAAAGCTGTCTCAGTTCCTCTGCGCAGCATCCCAGAGACGGAAGGAGCAGGATCTGCCCCCACTGACGCTCTGGGTGCACTCTTTCCCTACGGAACCGGAGACTACCGCTGCTCAAGCCCATCTCATTCCTCGGACTCCAGCATTGATATTGCCTTTGTGCACTGTAGTCCTTCCAATAGTCCACCTCCACAATCCCACAGTAGGGGGCGAAGTGCTGGGGGTGTGGTTTATAGGCCCAACAGGGCCTGTGTGTCACCTGACTCTGCAGATATTGTGAGACCACACCCTCTACAGGCAGTGCAGAGAAAGAGCAAATCGCTGAATGGCCTGCAAATGGACAGTATTGATAGCCACACCCACCAGACAAAAAATCCTGCCCATCCGAGGCTAGAGCGTCAGTCAAGTGGCAAATCAAGACTGAGATCCAGCAGCCCAAAGCACAGATTCGAGACACACACCGACACAGAGGAGCAGCCAAGACTAATAAATCAAAAGGTACACACTCACGCACATTTACATATTAACACTCAAACACACACATGTGTAATTGACAATTAGTGGTAACTAGCAACTCCTAATTACCACTAAAAAAATCCACTAAAAAACGCCATGCCAACCATAGTATACATACATAGATGTCTCATTAGCGGCCGTTTCACAACCAGAAGCTGCACAATGTTGTGGCATCATTGATTCTTTCTTTGAATGACGACATTCTGACTGTTCCAAGATGGCAGGCACACAGACTTGGTTATTAGTCTTGAGGTATCTATATATTCATATCTAATTTGTAACCACCCACAACAGCGAAGCAGTAGAAATGTGTTTAAAAAAAAACACCTTAGCAAGTAACATCATGGCAACCCCGGCAAAACCCTAAAATTGTCATAAATTAAAATGAAATATTATTTGATTTAGGATGCATTTATTTAACTGTACGTGTGTGGAAGCTCATTCTGCTTGTTCCTCAGGATCCTAGAAGCCTGGTGTGGGAGGAGCTCAATTTGAGGGGTGTGTCTGACGACTATGACCACACCCCCCTGAGTGAACGTGGTCGGAAAGAAGGAAAAGGATTTAGGAACTCCTTCAAAAAACTTTTTAAGAAGAAGTGAGTTCATAAGAACTAGACACACAGATGCTTTGCTTTTCCATACTGTACTCACACTTAAAGCCATGATGCATGTATGTGTGTCTCAGGTCTAGTGGTGATGGAAAGGAGAAGACAACAGTAAAAGCTGATTGTCTGAGCAGTGGAGATCTGGAGTCCACCAAAGCCCCTCATGCAGGATTCATTGACAGAGGAACTGCTGTTTAAACAGAGGTTAAAACTAGAGGTTCTCAACTGGTTTCAGGACAGATTTTACAATGAACATCAAGGGGTGACCCAACACACTTTTTGGTTTTTAGTGTTTGGTCTCTAAATATCTCTTGAATGTTGATTTTTTTCATGCTTTCGGTAACCAGCAATTGTGGTTGGCACAATTGTTTTTCTAGTTGCAAGTGAACCTTTGTTTTTATGTGGGTTTCTTTTGTGGTTTATCACACACAAGTCGTTCAAATGACAGGTAAATTTCCATCAAAATACTGAATACCTTGTGTTTTCTGGAGGGATTTTAGGATTGTTAGAATAGACCTGCTAGGCTATGGCACATTTTTTTTAGTCACAACACCAGTTGAGAACCACTGTATTTCTCACAAACACACTAAAAAAAACAAAATGAGCCCGAGCTCAAGCTGCTTCATAGCATCATTAAACATTTCTGACATAGCACACGAAACATTTTGCATGATAAATCCATTTTCAATATAATTTTGGTCAGATTTTTGAGGAATAAAGACCATTTTGCATTGTTGACGCAAATATATTCTCAAACATATAAACATGGGTTTTTGCTGGGCTGCGCTGACAAGATGTAAAACTATATGGGATAAAATGACAAATTATATTAATAACTCTTATTTAACTTAATTACAATATTTACTCATAAATAAAAATGTTATAAATACATGTTGTATACTTAAAAAAAAGTCACATGTACATACCTTTGAATGCAATGTAAATGGTAACAATTAGAATAAAGTACAAATAGTAATATTTTAATATAAAAAATGTATTCTTGAGTATAAATGTGTGTATTTGTACAGGCCTGGGGCCTCATTTATAAAAACTGTGCGTAGAATCCTTACTAAAATTGCATGTGCGGCCGAAAGCCAAAAATGTCGTATGCATAAAATATTCAGATTTGATGAGTTTGTAGAACACCAGACGACAAAAGACAAGAGACCATTCTTCCATATAGAATCTCTCCAGAACCTTCACATTTCTAGGTCCATGTTGGTTTCTCTTCTCTTCAGTTTTCTATAGGGTTCAGTGCTAAAAAAAATATTAATATGAATGGGATTATACTTCATAGATATTTTACTCAAAAGAAATTCTATGTGTAGGCTACCAATAATTGTGTACCAATAATCTTTTGATTTTTGAATGAAATATCCAAAGGATAACAATACAGATTTATTTTCATAGCCAATCATTCTGACCATGACTGTATATTTGACAAAAATAACACCATTCAGTTGCATTTGATCTTTTTTCCACCTTGGTTTAATGTGTTAAATCTCATAAAAGAGTTTCACATTTGAAACAAAATATTGGCTTTATACAGTCTGTAAAACTCAAATTATTTTACACTATATACAAAACATGTGCATCACATTTCATGAGAGAATTATGCTGTAGTGAACATGGAGTAGTTGAACACACGCTCTGTACTCAAAGCATCCAATATCACATTTGTGACTCTTTCAAACATACCGAGTAAAGGTTACTGGAGATTAGGCTCAGACATGGTTTCATTCGGTATCAAAATCAGAATCATGGACCATGTGACAAGACCATTAAAAATGCTGTTAGGGAGACACTCTATTTGAAGTGATGTTTTCTTATTTATAATGGTTTTAAATGCATGTTAGAGGTAGAGGCGACATGCTAAATTTGCGCATTCAACTAAACAAAACATGATTTTGTTATTTTGGAACAAAAAAGGAACAGATAGGACACCATACAAACTGATGCTAGAAAGCTTTACAGACAGCTACATTCTAGAAAGAGCTCTTTTTCTGACTTCCCCCTTCATATTTACACATACTGCATTCATAAGACATCGTTATCTCTAATCGGTTTTCAGTCTGATAAATAGGTTTTCTTTGCCTGTTATACTCTACTATTGACATCACAGCCTGTAAGTGCGCAGACGTCACTCATTAACACACGCGGCACGCTGAAAAAAGCACATGTGAGCAAACGTATTGTGCAAACCTTCAATAACAGTGCTTGGTAATGAAAATATGACACTTGGCTTTTCTGCATAAATAATGAAATATAAAATCTCTAAAATCACTCTATTCTCATTAAGTGGCTCATGATGATCCTAAACATGACGCTGTTACAGTGTAGGGCAGCAAATATAGGCGATATAATTTAATTATTCAATGCTTATAATCCACCAAGGCTGTGCTAACAAAAATGGTTCATAATCTATAAAACAATAGAAACAACTACTCTAAGGTTCCACTGTCTGTTCCCGTGCTGTTAGAAATGAAATATGGAGCTATATATTGTGTGCAAAATCCAGCCATTTAAATAGGAATTGTGATCGCCCAAAATATTTCCACACTCACATAAAGTTAGTCACATAAATTCCCCACATCGACCAGCAGAAAGCTGTTTGGTTTTAAAGTGACTTCTGTGTGAACAGTGATTCATGGATCCCTATATTTGACAATGGATCTTTTTGATCACAAAATTTCACTAATATTACTGCACTTTTGAGATAAAAAAGTGGCGCCATAAATTTGAATGAAGAGAAAGAGACGGAGGAGGAAAAAACAGTGAGTTGGTGAGTGTTGTGCCGAATTCTGTGACTCACTGAATTCTTTGTCCATAGTAGCTGCTGTACTGAGCAAATCCTAACCAAACATCCCTACATTATGTGTACGGTCACATAATTAGGTGGGTAACAGAATTCGGAATTACACGGGTTGACACAAAGCGCATTTTGGCGTTCCACTGGACTATTTTGAATTGTTTTTCTATGTAAACAACTGTGAAATGTATTATGACAGAGAGGAGCTGTTTACAGGGCTGCCTTCACTGCAGTACTGAAAGCTACGAAGCCAACAAGATGGCACGACACCTGTAAATCACGCCAGATATAAAAGCCAGGTAATTTGTTTCCTCTTTTAGACAACTGTTGTACTAGACGTCTGTGTTTTTACATTAGTTACTTAAGTCATACTGATCTGATGGTTGTGTATCAAGGTGTCTGTCGAGTTTAGTTTGCACAGTTTCTTTGTATTGAAATGTATCTATAGTAAGGTTATGCAGTTTACCAGTACCATTGATTTGACCATTATTAGATTTGTTAATGTTGCCGTTACATGCTATGCGCATCTATAATGCATTTTAAACGGTCTACCTACGTCTGCTTGTGCTGCGTTCACACCATGTCGTAATAGAGTGGTGCAGGTATGACATCACTTTGTAGGCCAAAACGTGGAAACGAATTAGCATTTTAGCACTTTCAGCATCAAAATTTAAAGTTTTTTTTTTTTTTTTTTTAATGGGGTTTTGGTTAAATGGCTGAAATAAGGTTTTTATTCTGTAACATAAATATATCAGTAATACCCCACTCCTGATTATTTGAAGCTGTAACGTGTCTTGAAAAAGGCGGTTGAGTACAGAGGCTGTCGAGAAGATTAAACGCCATCACGCCGAAAAGGTAAGCTCAGTCCACTTTTACAGCATCATTACATATACATTTATTCATTTAGCTGACGTTTTTATCCAACTTACAATTGCTATATATGTCAGAGGTCACACGCCTCTGGAGCAACTAGGGGTCAAGTGTCTTGCTCAGGGACACATTGGTGTCTCACAGTCGATTCGAACCCGGGTTTCTCACACCAAAGGCATGTGTCTTATCCATTGCGCCATAGTTATGCTTATAATTTTACACACTATTCTAACTCTAACGTTCTGGAAAAATGTTTTTAGATAAAAACCGAAAGCGTTTATAGCCTACATTAATCTTTTTACTTCTGGTGACTGAGTTTAGGCTTCAAAATTCATATATTTTGAATTCATAAGTATTTTTCTGAAAAATGATCTTAATGGACAAAATGTTTTTTTTTGTTTTGCGATAATCCAAAAACCTATGGAAAATTCCTACTGAATTTTTTGAGGGAGCCACAGTGTGATACTAACGGCCGGTTGGCCTGCAAAGTGACATCATACCTGCACCACTCTATTGGGGTTATGCGCAACAAACTTCCATATTCTGTAAAACAGGTCGCATCACTTCTGGTTCAGCAGAAGCAAATTGCTATGCGATTGACTATCTTTGGATAGATTTTGTTTGTTCATGTGACATAGCATTCGACATAAGCCTTTTAAATCGAAGCTGTTCACATCCTCGGACTGGACATTATGTGTTTCTATGGCAACACTATCAATTAATTACAAGTTCTACGAGTATGTAATTACAGTAATTACGACATGGCGTGAACGCACCTTTGTATTAAGTATTGATTTTGTATCAATACAAGGTTCCAGGGGCTGGTATCACACTGAACCAAAAATATGTAGTGTTTTAGTTTTTCAGTAGTGTTGTGTTCCATAGATTAAAAATGAAAATGAGGTGTATAAGTCTCAGGAATATGACTTTTGTTGCGTGCATTACGTGGTGTGTGTTAAGGCAGTGTGTTTTCAGAAGCTGTTCTCATGGCCTGCGAGGATGTACAGATTACTTTGAGCCGTGGGGTCTTCCGTCGGTTTGCTTTCCAACACCACCACTCTGAGAAAGACAGAAATGTTTATGAGAACCGTGCTGACTGTGGCTCTGCTGTGGTATAGTTTAAGTGTTGGTGAGCTCTCACCTGTCTGCACCCAGCAGCCTGTAGGTTCGTGAGTTATCAGCGATCTCTTGAGTAATCTAAAGCAGAGAACATTTTTACCAATTTTACCATTTTACATAGTTACCAACTACACGCATATTTCTATAAAGGTTCGGTCACATTTATCGTTGGTCTGCAAAACATTGTGGCTAAAATTCTGTCATTGTTTCGCATGCAGGTGAAATGTTCCCCGCAAAGATTTTGCTCATGTTCAGGTAGGTTACAAAGCTGTTTGGTTTGGTAGTGACTTCATGAATTGCTCCACATGGACAATAGACTTTTTTGCCCACAAAATTACGCTAATGTGACCGCACCTTAAAGCTAGAGTGCTGGTTACCAGCTATGAATGTATAATCTAGTTCAGTGGGTCTCGATGGTGTGTGCATGTCCATTAAAATCATTGTTGTATGTTTTGGGCACCACTTGTTGTCAGCTGTAAAATCTAGGTCCTAAAACAAAACTAGTTGAGAACCACTGAGTAAAAAGATCACAGGCATAACACACCTCACTGTTTCTAAAGCTTCGCCCCTGCATTCCATGCTTCCAGAATGCCAAAACACTGTCCTGCAGACACACTTGAAAAAAGACAAATTATTATTAATCAAAGCTCATAATGAATTCTCCCATCTGTCTTCACTTAATTTAAAACTTAATTTAGTTCTTACCTATTGCCTCAATCTGGAAGTTAAAGGTAAGTTCAGTTGACAATTTCTTGTTGGATTTTAACCTGCCCAGTAAATTCACCAACTTTATACACCCTGGAAAATATACAGTAGAAACTAATTATAATGTAGTAATGACTTTCCAGAGATGGAACTGAGTTTGTGCAAATGCTTGTTTGAACATGAATCTGTGCTACAAGCGCTGACAAATATCGAGAGAAAAATCCTGTGTGAATTCAACAATAAGGAGGCAATATCAAGTTAATATACATGTGGTTTTATCACACTGTGCCAAAAACCATCCCTCGACTGGTGAAAAAATACACCTTTAACACACAGCTTAAAGTTTTTTATTGCTTTTAGAAAACTATTATAATTAGTTTAAACAATATTCTAAATAATATTAATTAGTATATATACATATTTATGCATTTCATTATTATCGCTATTATATTTAAAGCTGCAGTCTGTAGTTCTTCCTCTTTGTCGCCACCTCTGTTCGAAATCTGCAATTGCAGTTATTCGTGGAATTATCAACTTTACGTGGGTTCTGCCTCGTCACGGCACTGCATGGATGAATCTAATGTTTTGAGGAGACTATCAGTCACCGCGCCGATGTGGATAGCTAACAAGCAGATAGTTTTGAACACTGGCTGGTTATGTACTTACTCAAAAATTTATTTTGGATACTTTTTAACTCAAAAAATGTACAGACTGCAGCTTTAAATTGAATATTATTTTAGGAGAAATAGAAAATATGATTATATTATTTGATTTACTTACGATCTAAACACACAAGGACAGTGTCTCTCTCCAACTGAGTCACATGAATGACACATGTCTGAGGTGTTTCTGGAAAGACAAAAGACAAGAAGGGTTCATAGATGACCCAATAGCAACACTCTTAAAACTTCAAAAATTTTTGAAGCAATCCAATCAAAACCAAAAAATCCTTCTGTTTTGAACACAGCGAGACTCTGTAAAACTGACCGGGCTCTGTGAACGCGGGGGTGGCAGCATTGGGATCAACAGTGCCAAATGTGACCACCTGATCAGGGTGACTTCCCTTACTGACTGCCACACAAACCAGTGGATAATGCTGTTCAGGAACCACCAACATCTCAAAGACTTCTAATGGACACGGCAGGGTGAGGTCTATGCTCTGGACAGACACAAATACACAGGATTGTACAAGATAGATTTATAGATAGATTCACATTGTGTTTCTCAATATCTCACTTACCTTTATGAGCATGAAGCGCTGCATGGCTTCAACCCATTCCAACAGCATTACACTGGACTGGAAAGCTCCACATAAGTACTTATGACCTGTGTATGGGTTTCGCACTATAGATACACATACAGAAGCATGTTGACTGTATCTGTCTTATATGATACAGACTGTATCTGTATCACATAATTTCAACACAAAACATAAGAACGCAACTATAGTTCTATACTGACCTACACAGCATTTCTGGCAACCCCTTGTATCTGGGATTTTATTGGACACGGTAAACTTTCTGAAAGAAAGGCATTACCATGACAGTAATAAAATGTAAAATGATGAGATTTCATAGGATGTGCATTTCACAAATATTTAAATGAAATGAGTTTTATCAGAAAAAAAGTTTTGAAAATAAAAATAAAAAGATTTG